TGGTTTTCCTTAGATAGAAAACTTTGAATCAATCTGACTGGATGATCTGGTGAACTGGAAAGTGACCTGAGATGACATGATGGGAATTGGAGCTATAGAAATAAACTGAATAGAATAGATGTTGTACACAAAGAAGGAAACATGTTTTAGCATTGACAGAATTAATTCCTGTTATTTTAAACATAATGATTTATATAAGTACAAATTGCAGTGGAAGAGTCAATAGAAACGTAAAACTCAGTAGAAACGGTTTCAGTGTTATTGTGCATTTCATCCTCTGCAGCTTCTATAAAATCTGTTTAGATAAACTTTTAACGGCTTCAAAGATTCCTCTCAGTTTGACATCATATCTATAAAAAATATCTAATTTAGGCAAGAAAATTAAATAAACCATGAAGAGTTTAATTCTACTAGAAAGCAGTTTATAGATTATTTTAATCAAAGCCTCTACATCAGTGCAATCAGCTCCGTTTCAGATAAACTATTAACATTTTCTAGCATTCAGCAGAAACTACCATCTGTTCAGGTTCCATTTACGTTCTCCCTCCACTGTACGGCAGGCGGGGGCCTGACCTTCAGGCGTGGTGCGTTCAGGGGCATGGGCCGTCCAGAGACCATGATGTCAGTGTGCTACGGGCGCACCGAGGCGCTGGTGTTCTCTGGAGCCGCCACCGGAGACGTTTACATCTGGAAGGAGCCGGTGCTGCTGAAGACGGTGAAAGCTCATGACGGGCCGGTGTTCGCCATGTTGTCCCTGGACAAGGTGAGGAGGATCCGCCTGATGATGGAGCTCCTGGAACGTTCTGTATCCGCTGGTTCAGTTAGAGTCATCTGGAGGCACAGACTCAGATCAGATCTATAGATATATGATCCAGGAATCGGTTTAATTTCCAATCAGATCCTGATCATCTAGAGTTTAGAGTGACAGCAGGTTAGGGGCTGTTTCTAGGATATGATGTACAATTGGTTTTCTTCTCTCTTTGATTCTTAAAATCAATAAACTTCATCTGTGAAGCTGCTGAAACTCTCCTCCTGTTTGATTGATAAAGGTTATAATAAGAATTAAAAACACAGACTGAGGTTTATGCTGCATCTGTTTGTTTGTCATCGATAAGAAGTAAGATAAATAAAAAAAAAAGGTTGTGAGGATGTAAATGTGTCCACTCATCAGTCCAAGGCAGCGGCTGCTCCTCAACTCCTCGTTTTTCTCACAGTCAAACTTCTGGTTTCAGGGTTTTGTGACGGGAGGGAAGGATGGAGTGGTGGAGCTGTGGGACGACATGTTTGACCGCTGCCTGAAAACCTACGCCATCAAGAGGACGGCTCTGTCCGCAGGGTCTAAAGGTGAGGATGGAGGGAGGGATGGATGGATGATGGATGGATGGATTGATGGATGGATGGATGGATGGATGGATGGATGGATGGAT